CAACTTTGCATCCGGAATACCCATTCTCTTCCGATATTGTTGCAGCGCCTCGAACGGATGAACCTTTAAAAAACAGACAGTAATACCAAAAAAAACAACAAAAAAATTGACAAAGACGACCTATAAATAGGGAAAATGAATAAAAACAGAAAATATTAATAATACGGAAAGGAAACATACTTCACCGAACCACGTCTCATTATCGGTGTAAACGATGAAAACATCAAACAGTTTTTCATTTCTTTCTGCCCAAAGCATTGGCAGCGCACAGTCTGTTGCTCCCACTGTAATTTTTTGAGCATTTTGCATGACTTCAGATAGATCCATGTCCTTTCTCCAGTCTAATGGTACCAATTTGTTCGAAAACGCTACCGATGTTACCTAGAAGAAAATAAAGGACATCAAATCGCAATCTCTCAAAAATAACTTAAAACCAAGTGCATAACACAAAACAATACATGTGCACGTGAGCTATGAACATCCTTGTAAAATTTCAGCTCGGTATTTCCTGCGGTTGCTGAGTTGAATGCAGCTAACAAAAATCCAAATGTGCACATGCACACACACACACACACACACACACACACACACACACCGACAAGCTCTTGACAAATATACACTTTTACGCTTACCTAAAGATGCGAAAATACATAGGAATAATGAAAGTTATAAAATGTTTCTAGTAAAGAATGTCATGCTCTCGTTTGCCTTTTGAGCCCTACGTGAAGTTCTAGGTTTCTGGCGCTGATTAGCAGATGAGGATGTATAGCAAAACTTTAGGGAGAAAAAGGCCGGGAACACCAGGTCAGGATCCAGGAAGACAAGACAGCAGCAAGGGAATAACAGGGAAATCTCACCAACGACAGACAGTTTTCTAAAAGTTTTCTGGGAGATATACGTACTGATCCACTCTTTTACTCAGTCTAAAACAGGAATGGAATGCATTTTTAATAACGTTTGACTACAATCCATCCCGCAACAGTTAGAAATAGAACTTTTGTTTACTATAAAAGCTTCCAGCAGCTTACATGTGGCTCAGTGCGGATAATGGCCATCGAAAGAGCAGCGGCTGCCTCACTACAAGTCAGACAACTGTTCTGTATACGGAAACCCATGCTTCCTGTAATAAATACGTGCAACATGCAGAAAAATTTCTGGAAGATAACATGTACATTTCGTTTTTCTGAAATTTGACATTTAGCAGTACCAAATTTAATTAAATTCCAACACTGAGTAAATCGAAATTTTACTAATTTTTTAGAATCCGACGAACTAAACGAAGATTTGAAAAAGGTGTAAATCAGGC